AACCACTGTGAAACCAGAGCTCCTGGGGGGGAAGAAATAGGAGGGATTATTACATTTATATATTTATACTCTTGTTTTTACTGATTTACAAATTATTTCTCTTATTTATTCTGAAAAAAATAACTAAAGCAAAAAAAGCACTAATAACTAAAACCAAAAAGCCAAATCCATTGCCGTTGAGCCAATTCCGACTCATAGCACCTCTATAACTACCTCCCAAAAAATCACCCTAATCTTTATCTCAAAAACACAAAGATACCTGAACCCATAATCCTTTTCCTAACCTCTCCCTGTTTTTTTTTTTCTCTGACAGCATCTCCATTTTTTCCTGGTCGTTTCATTGCCGTAGCTATGGGGATTCGTTTCATCGTTATGGTAACAATATGGAGTATCATATTCTTAAATTGTAAGTGATAACAGAGAAGTAAGTTGAAGCTTTGTTTATCTAACAATTGTAACAGATTACTTGGATTAGTACTCAGAACCATAGAAACATAAGCTAGCAAACTTGAATAAGTACTTTTATGTTTTTGCAATTAGTCTTAAAATTTGTAAACTATTTTTGCTTGAACATCACAAAACCTTTTAATTATCATGATTATTTTAATAGCATTATTCAACCAAAGAGCTCCAATTTCTTTGAATGGTAAGTGGATATTTTCTAAGATTTTGCAACATAAATTGTGTACATCTATTTATACTAGAGAGCCTGGATGTTGTAGTCAGTCTCCAATTGTCTGCTAACCTAAAGGCTGGCAGTTTGAACACACCCAGCAGCTCCCAAGAAGAAGGCCTGGTGAACGGCTAGTGTAAAGATTATAGCCAAGGAAACCCTATGGAGCAGTTCTACTCTGTAACACATGGGGTTGCCATGAATCAAAATGGACTCGATGGCAATGGGTTTAGGTTTTCTTTTAATGTATAAACTAGGATATAGACATGTATCCAAGGAAATAATTATTCTTATCCACAATTCACAGTAGCTTATCATGCAAGTTATTTTTTTTTTTTTATTACAATAAAGGAGTACTTGTAAAAAGTAGAGGATACTTAGTTTTGACATATCTTTCAATATAAATGTGTAGGGGTGTATCATTGGGTATGAGAATAATGGTTTAATTGTGTGGAATTTTAGAGTTGAAATGGGAAAGACATTTAAGTAGTCTAGACAAAATCTGCTGTAATGTTCAGAAAAGCAGAATTAATAATATAATCTACCTTTCTAGAAAGTTACTGTGGCCCATGTCCTAAAAACTGGATATGTTATAAAAATAACTGTTACCAATTTTTTAATGAGAGCAAAAGCTGGTACAAGAGTCGAGCCTCTTGTGAGTCTCAAAATTCCAGCCTCCTCAAGATCTACAACAGAGAAGACCAGGTGGAGTATCTGTTTTAATTCTCCTTCCTACATTTAGTCCTAACATATGAGGCAACTTACTGGAATACAGACTTGAAATATATGTACATCTTCCTTTTGCTACTAACTCACTGAGTCATCTTGAACAAGATGATGAAGTTACTGCTAAAGTTATGTTGAATGAGACGTTCTGGCAATTGGTACAATATGCAATGGAAAATCTTTAATATTACTTTAATCAATGTCAAAAGTCAATGGCTGATTCACTCACAATGTACTTTTCTCTTTAGTTTGCCTTTTTTACAGTTTCCCCATCAATAACTTTTTATCCTACAAAAAAGTGAGCAGCTGAATGACTATTAGAATCTAAGTATCATGATAAACACGTTACATTCAAAATACGTGACAACATAATAACCATTTTACCTCTAATATGTCATTTGACCTGCATCACTTTGGAAGAAAGAGAGTAAAGTCCATCCTCATTTTCTGCAGATTCTGTATTTGCTAATTTGCCTGCTTACTAAAATTTATTTTTAGCACCAAAAGAATACTTATGGTGCTTTTGCAGTCATTCATGGGCACGTGTAGAGTGGCAAAAATTTGAGTCACCAGATGTGCATATTCCCATCTGAAGTCAAATAAGACAAAGCTCTGACTTCATTTCAGCTCTGATACTGTAAACAAATGTCCCTTTGTGGTCTATTTAGTGGTACATTTTTCATCCTTTTGTGCTTTTTGTTGGTGATTTTGCTGCTTAAAATGGTCTTCCAAGTGTAGTGTTGAAGTGCTGTTGCAGTGCTGAAGTGTTCCTAAGCGTAATAAGGCTGCAATGTCCTTTCACAGAACATACCTGTGTTAAATAAGCTTCTCTATGAGTTGCAATCAACTCACATGACAACAATAGTAGATAAGCATCATTCAAGCACTCGTTAAGTGATGTTAGCCATGAGTTCAATGCTAGTGAATCAACAATATACATATTAAATGAGGTGTCTTTAAACATGTTGTTGTAGTTGTTAGGTGCCATTGCGTCAGTTCTGACTCACAGCGACCTTGTGTATAACAGAATGAAAGGTTGCCCAGTCCTGCGTTGTCCTTGCAATTGTTTTAGCCACTGTGTCACCCCATCTCATTGAAGGTCTTTCTATTTTTTGCTGACCCTCTACTTTACTAAGCATGATGTCCTTCTCCAGGGACTGGCCTCTCCTGATAACATGTCCAAGTAAGTGAGATGAAGTCTTGCCATCTTCATTTCTAAGGAGCATTCTGGCTGTAATTCTTCTAAGACAGATCTGCTCTTTAAACATAAACACACATAAAATAAGGTTTTGTCTTGATTGATTGACAAAATCATTGTGACCAGAGGTTTGCAGGCATCTAACTCTGTGTCTCCGCTAAGAGCAATGGTTAAGTATTCACTGACTCAGTGTTCGTGGCAACTTTATAGAATGTAGCCCCCAAAATAATGAGAATCAATTGCATATGTTTTGAAAATATAAGTATATACTTCGTGCAATTATGGGAATCATTAAATCCCTATAGCCTCCAATCTATTTTTAAAGGTTTTATGATTTATGTTATAGAAAATGGATAGATACTTTAATAGGAAGCCAAAATGTTATGTATTAAAAGTAAGAAAGCACAGGTATTACAGGTATTATGCATGTGCTGCCTCCGTGGGAATTAGACTAGTTAGGGCTCAGAGCAGTTTCCGCCCACGTAAGATGAAACAGTTAAATGATTATGTCCTTGTGTTTACCTAAATTTGAGCACTGGCTCTAGTTATGGTTTATTTGTGGTTTCAAACAGGATTTCTTCAAACTGGTGAAGTCATATCACTGGATGGGCCTTGTGCGAATTCCAACAAATGGATCCTGGCAGTGGGAAGACGGATCCCTTGTCTTACCTAACCAGTAAGTCTCTGGCTCAATAATATGCATATTTGTGGACATATTCCTTAGTTATCACTATAATCGCTCATGTATCACGTTTTTTCATACATTCCCAGGTCATTCTCATATTCTAATAGATTCAGCAAAACTTAGGGCTTGATTTTAGAAAAGAGAGCGGAGAAGAGCAACAGAAGACAGTAATGATGAACGTCATTAATTGTTTTCTCCATGCTAAGTACTGCAGGGAAACCCTGGTGGCATAGTGATTAAGTGCTACCGCTAACCAAAAGGTGGGCAGTTCGAATCCACCAGCTCTGCTTGGAAACCCTATGGGGCAGTTCTACTCTGTCCTGTAGGGTCACTATGAGTTGGAATAGACTCAATGGCAACAGGTTTCAACAGGTAAGTACCGTGAAAGTTAGGGCTGTTATTATACCCACTTTACAGATAAGGAGACTGAAACAGAGAAGCTAAATATTCTATGTATACTTAAACTATTAACAGATTTACTGAGGTATAATTGACATAAAATAAATGATACATATTTAAAGTGCACAATTTGATAAGTTTAACAAATGTATACCCCTGTGAAACAATCAATACCATCAAGAAAATTAACAAATTATAATTAATAATTATAATAATAATTAGCTGTTAATTAATCAGCTGCAAATTTTTCTCTAGCACCTTCGTAATACCTTCTCCCTGCCCCTCCCTGACTACTTCTCCCTGTCTCCAGGCAATTGATCTGCTTTCTGTCACCATAGATTAGTTTTCAATAGATAGAATTTAATATTAATGCAATTATTTATACAGTACATCCTTTGGGGGGCAGGTCTGGCTTCATTCACTTGTCATAGTTGTTTTGAGATTCAGCCATCTTTTAGCATATAGAGTTAATTTTTTTTATTCCTGAGATGATTTCTTTCATGGATATAGCAAAAATTAGTCCTTTCATCTGTTGATGGATATTTGAGTAGTTTCCAGTCGCTGACTATTACAAATAAAGCTACTTGCTATGAGCATTCACGTCCATAGCTTTGTATGAACATATGCTTTCATTTTCCTTGCGTAAATACCTATGAGTGTAATGGAAGGCTCATACGGTAAGTGTGTATGTATCTTTTTAAGAAATTTCCAAACTATTTTCCAAAGTAGTTGTGCATTTTACATTCCCATTAGCAGTGTGTGAGAGTCCTAGTTGCTCCACATCCTGGTCAATCCTTGGCATGCACAGTGTCTTTAATTTGACTCATTCTAGTAGGTGATTTTAATTTGCATTTCCCTAATAACTAATGATGTGGAGCATCTTTTGTTGTACTTACTTACCATTCATTTTTCTGTTTTCTAATTCATCTATTTCTGCTCTGATATTTATTATTTATTTCCTTCTTATTCTGTATTTAATTTGCCTTTGTTTTGCTTTCTTTTCTTTTGTTTCCTATAGTGAAAGCTAAGATTATTGATTTGAAGTCCATCTTATTTTCTGATAGAAGGATTCAACCTTTAAATATGCAGGATGTTGCCAAACATTCCATATGTTTTGAAATGTTGTGTTTTCATTTTCATTAAGTTCAAAATTGTACCTAATATTCTTTTTGCTTTCTTCTTTGATCCATAGGCTATTTTAGAAATGTGTTATTTCGTTTCCAACATTTGAGGATTTTCTAGAGCTATTTTTCTTATTTCTAATGTATTTCCATTGTGATCAGAGGACATACTTTGTATGACTTGAATCCCTTTATGTTGATTGAGATTGGTTTTATGGACCAGAATATGGTCTATCCTGGGTAATGTTCCATGTGCACTTGAAAAGAATATGTATCTTACAATTCTTGGATCGTGTTTTATAAATATTAATTAGGTCAAGTTGGTTGAGAGTGTTGCTCAGGTCTTCTACATTCTTGCCGATTTTTTGTCTGCTTGTTCTGTCAATGATTGAGAGAGAAGTATTGAAATCTTGAACTATAATTGTGGATTTATCTATTTCTCCTTATAGTTCTAACAGTGTCTACTTGATGTATGTTGAAGTTCTGTTTTTAGGTACATAAGCAAATGTTTAGGATTGCTGTATACTCATAATGAATTGACTCCTTTCAAATTATTAAATGAGTTTCTTTCTCCCTGAAGATAATTTTTGGTTTGAAATCCTAGTTTGTCTAGTATAAATATAGCCACTCCAGTTTCCTTTAGATTAGTGTTAGCATAGTATACATTTTCCCACCCTTTAATTTTTAATCTACTTGTATCTTTATATTTAAAATGAGTCTCTTGGCGGTAAAATATACTTGGATCTCAATTTTTCATTCACTCTGATATTTTCTGCCTTTTTAATTGGGGTGTATATGCTATTTGCATTCATTGTAAATATTCATATGGTTAGGTTTAAGTGTAGACTTCTAAGCTGACAGTTTTCTTCTTTCAATACTTTCAGCAGGTCTCCTCACTTCTGCTGTTTTTCTGAGAAATCTACTGTTAAACAGTCTTTGCTCCTCTCTATTTAATGACTTACACTCTAATGACTTTCGTATTTTGTTTTAACACTAAATTTAAGAAATTTGTTAATTTGTCATGGTTTAGTTTTCTTCATCTTTCTTGTGTTTGTGTTTTGTCAAGGCTCTTGGAATTGTAGGTTTATAGTTTTCACCAAAATTAGATAATTTATTGCCATTATTTATGATTATTAAATTATTAGTGGAACATTATATACAAATATTTTACCTCCCCACTTCCCTCTTTTCTCCTTCAGAGACTCCAATTATAGATACCTAAAGTCATTGAAATTGTAACACTGCCTGCTGACACTCTTTTCTCCTTGTGTTTCCTTTGCATAGTTTCTCTTACCATCAACTCAAGTTCACTAATCTTTCCTTCTGCAGTGTCTATTCTTCTATTAATGCTATCCATTGTATATTTCATCTAAGACATTGTGGTGTTCATTTGTAGAAGTTAAATTGGATTGATCTTTTTTTAGATCCTCCATGTCTGTACTTAACTTTTTTAAACAAATGGAATGCAGTTATAGTAACTGTTTTAATGTCCTTGTGCAGTAACTCTAACACTGGATCCATATTGATTGACTGATTTCCTTCCTCGTTATCGTCATATTGTTCAGCTTCTTTGGATGCCTGGTAATTTTTATTTTATTCCACACATTGTGAATTCACTTTGGTTAGAACTACAAGTTTTTTATTCCTAAAAAAAAATTATTGAGTTTTTTTTTTTTTCCTGGGATGCCAGTAAGTTACATGGAAACAGTTCTATCTGTTTGTATCTTGCTTTTAAATATTATTAGGCATGATGTTTAGTTTATGGCTAATTATTCCCAACTGCAGATGAAAGATCCTTCTAAGTAATCTAACCAAAACCTTATAAATTATGAGGTTTCATAGTATGGCTAGTGGGAACTGGTATGATTCCAGATCCTATGTAAATACTGAGTACTGTTGCCTCCAAACCTTTTGGATTGTTCCTTCTCTGGCTTTGGATAGTTTAAACACACACACACACACACACACACACATTGATCAGTACTCTGCCGAATATTCAAGGGGATTTTTTGATTATCTGCAGATTACCTTTCCTGTTTGACTCTCCCACATACAGTGCTGTGTCCTGTGAACTCTCACCTTTTTGATCTCTTTGGACTCTCAGATGTCCCATGTATTCTGTTTCTATAGCCTGCTCTTTAAATCATTTCATTATACAGCTCACCTCTGCACACCAGGACTAAGTGACAACTTCTCATTATGCTAGAGCTTATGAATGCAGCCTTAAAGGTAGCTTTGAAAGGATGAGACCCTAATATACTTAGATTGAGGCCCAGTAAAAATAGTT